CCTCCTGGGTTCAGACAATTCTCCTGCCTCAGCTTCCTGAGTAGCTGGGATTACAGGCACGCACCACCATGCCCAGCTAATTTTTTGTATTTTTAGTAGAGACAGGGTTTCACCATGTTGACCAGGATGGTCTCGATCTCTTGACCTCGTGATCCACCCGCCTCAGCCTCCCAAAGTGCTGGGATTACAGGCTTGAGCCACCGCACCCGGCCCGCTACCCACTTTCAATCTGATTGTACCATAGAACAGATCTTCACTCGGCCATGACTGATGCTTTCCTATCTCCATGCTGTTTCACCAGCACTGGCGTTTTGGTTGGGATTGTCATTTTCTATATTTATCAAATTCCTAGCTATCCTTCCTTCAAGCTTTGTGCAAATCTCATATCCTGTAAGACTGTGCTGCCCAATATGGTAGCATGTGGCTATTCATGTTCAGAATGACACTGATTAAAATATAAAGTTTAGCTCCTCAGTCTCACTGGCCACGTTCAATGCTCGGAGGCCACATCCCACTGAAATCACTGTCTTCAGTTTTTCTTCTCAACTCGTCTCTCCTTCTCCCATCTAACCTTAAAACCGCATTTTTAGCAATTTTGACCTGAACGATATTTCTGAGGGTTGTGTAATCCAGATCCATAAAATGACAGCTACACCTTGGCTTTCTACCATTCCAGTGCATTGCTCTGTATATGGTAGGTGGCTCGAACATTAATTGAGTTGGAAGGAAGCAGTGGTCAATCTCTATACTATACTAAGGGGTTTGGGTGAAATGACCTCTTATGATCTTTTCCAGTAAAATATTCAACAAACAATACAAATGTGTTATCTTCAACAATATATAACCTACCAGGAAAGCTATTTTTCAAATCACAGATGATTTGGGAGGAAGGCCCTTGAGAGGAGTGTTCTGGTGTGGCGGTTTCGATTCTCCAGCAGCTATTTTAGGTATTTAATTATTCTGGAGTGTGTGCTTGCATGTGCTTTGTCTCAACATACGCCAGTTTTTTGCCTAGTCCTCCTGACGTCTTAATCTCTCTGCCAGCGCTACATGCCATCAAGCCAAGGAGGAATTTCCTTTTCACTGTTGCTTCTCTGACCAAGGAGGACATAAGCACAACCAGTCACCAGACTGATGAAATTCCTTCTAGTTTCAGAAAAGATGATCACCAATCCCTAAATTATTAAATTCATACTAATAAAGCACAAAAACTGAATTCTAACTTTATATGCCATGTGACAAGACTACTTCATTGTGTGTGTATGTGTAGGTAATTATTTTCAAGTTAACAATCTAAATTTTACCTGTACAGTAAACCAGTCATTAGGCATGTGATAGAGGCACTGTGTTCATTAGTGTGGCCTTTTACAAGCCCCATAAAGAGACAAATCTTGATGGTGTTTATACGTTACATGATGTGTGCATATTAACAGCGTTAATATGTTTTCATTTTCCTTCACTCATAGCCAGAGAATGAGCTCCTCTTAAACCTGGGACATTTTTGAGGTTGAGGTTAATATTTACTTAATCTAAACGTTCTATTTTATTATTGTTTTATTTTATTTTTATTATTATTTTTTGAGACAGAGTCTTGCTCTGTCGCTCAGGCTGGATTGCAGTGGTGCAATCTCTACTCACTGCAACCTCCACCTCCCGGCTCAAGCAATTCTCGTGCCTCAGCCTTCCGAGTTGCTGGGATTACAGATGCCGGCCACCAAGCCTGGCTAATTTTATGTTTTTTAGTAGAGACGAGTTTTGGCCATGTTGGCCAGGCTGGGCTCAAATGCCTGGCCTCAGGTGATCCGCCCACCTCTGGCTCTCAAAGTGCTGGAATTACAGGTGTGAACTACCACACCTGGCTTAAACATTCTATTTTAAATATTAAAACCTGGACTCTGTACCAGAAGCCCCTTTTCAGTTACTCAGTAACCTTACTTTTATCTAACAGTAATACAGTAAATGGGAATTTATCTGGAATAGATACTGAAAACCAGGGCATTGCTCTTTGGTTGTGGATTTCATGACTCTTGGATACCTTTGGGATTCTTTCCTTGCTTAGCTGTTTCTTTAGAATAATAATTTTTTTTTTTTTTTTTGAGGCCAAATCTTACTGTGTCACCCAGGCTGGAGTGCAATGGCGTGATCTCTGCTCACTGCAATCTCTGCCTCCTGGGCTCAAGGGATCCACCCTCCTCGGCCTCCCACAGTGCTGGGATTACAGGCATGCACCACCACACCCAGCTGAGAATAATTCTTATTTCAACCACAATAACATCGTGTGCTTATTATGTTAGGATGTGTTTTTAAGATACAGAAAACATGACTTTTCTTGATATTTTAGAAAGATGTCCCAGGTCTCAGTATTATTACAAAGTGCTTTTGGGCCAGGCGATGTAGCTACACCTGTAATCCCAGCACTTTGGGAGGCCAAGGAGGGTGCGTCACCTGAGATCAGGAGTTCAGACCAGCCTAGCCAACATGGTGAAACTCCGTCTCTACTAAAAATACAAAAATTTAGTTAGGCATGGTGGTGGATGCCTGTAATCCCAGCTACTCGGGAGGCTGAGGCAGGAGAATTGCTTGAACGTGGGAGGCAGAGGTTGCAGTGAGCCAAGATTGCACCATTGCACTCCAGCCTGGGCAACAAGAGCGAAACTCCATCTTAAATAAATAAATAAGTGCCTTTGGGGCTGAGGCAAAGCAGAACCCCAGCGCGGGCATCTCAATATGGCCCAAGGCAGGCCAGTCACCCTCCCCCCATCCCCAGCATTTGCTGAGGATAAGGCCACCATCTCTGTCTTTCTTTACCCAGGAGTCTCTGCCAAGTGAGTAGTGCCCTGGTTGTACATCCCAGGACCAGGAGGGGCACATCATTAGCTACAATAGCAACATCACTCTTCAGATCTCAATAACTTAAGAATATGATGGCTTACATTTACATCTAAAAGAGAGGACTATATGAAACACCTGTGTATTTTATTTTCTACTAACCTAATTAATAATTGACAAACATGTATATTGCATGTACTCTTGACATAGCATGAAGAGTTAACATTGTTTTCTTCTAAAAGCATACAAGAAACTACTGAATCTTTAACTTTCCTGTTTTTGATGACAAACTAGTAAGAAGTTCAGCACTCTGTGAGAGCCCACAGGCAGAGATGTGTGACCTTAACAAGGGTTTTTTTTTTTGAGACAGAGTTTCACTCTTACTGCCCAGGCTGAAGTGCAGCGGTGCAATCTTGGCTTACTACAACCTCCGCCTCCCAGGTTCAAGTGATTCTCCTGCCTCAGCCTCCTGAGTAGCCCGGATTATAGGCATGCGCCACCACTCACAGCTAATTTTTGTATTTTTAGTAGAGACGGGGTTTCTCCATGTTAGTCAGGCTGGTCTTGAACTCCTCACCTCAGGTGATCCACCCACCTCGGCCTCCCAAAGTGCTGGGATTACAAGCATGAGCCATCGTGCCTGGCCTACTCATTTTCCTCACCTGTGAAATAAGGGACAAATTTTCTTTCCGCCTGCTTTTCTTTCTGGATTTCAACAATACAGTAATAACATTTTTTCCCTTATATGTGAAGTTTGAGAAGGTTTTTTTCCTTTAAAAAAGGTTTTAAATTGTGGTTAAAAAAAAACCCACGAAAATTGACCGTTTAAGCCATTTCTTAACCATTTCAGTAGTGTTAAGTATATTCAAAGTGTTATGTAACTGATCTGTAGAACTTTTTCATCTGGCAAAATGAGAACTCTGTACCGGTTAAACAATGACTCCCTCTTTCCCCTTCTACCCCCAGCCCTTGGCAACCACCATTCTACTTTCTGTTCCTATGAATTTGACACTCTAGATATCTCACATAAGGGGAATAATACAGAATTCATTCCTTTGTGTCTGGCTGATTTCACTTAGCATCATGTCCTCAAGGTTCCTCTTGATTATATCTTGTATCAGGATTTCCTGCCTTTTTTTTTTTTTTTTTTTTTCTGAGATGAAGTCTTACTCTGTCGTCCAGGGTGGAGTGTAGTGGCACGCTCTCAGCTCACTGCAACCTTTGCCCGACGCCCCCCTCCCTGCTACAGGGTTCAAGTGATTCTCCTACCTCAGCTTCCCAAGTAGCTGGGATTGCAGGTGCCTGCCACCGCACCCGGCTAATTTTTGTATTTATAGTAGAGATGGGGTTTCACCATCTTGGCCAGGCTGGTCTTGAGCTCCTGATCTCACGAACTCCTCAGCCTCCCAGAGTGCTGAGATTATAGGCGTGAGCCACCGTTCCCGGCCTGCTTAGTTTTTTTTTTAAAAGAAACGTTGTTCCTGAAAGTAGATAATATGATAATTTAGGTTAGAGATAGGCCTGGAAATCCAATCTATTATTTTACAGATGTGGAAGTTGAGGGCCAGAGAAGTTACTCATAGAAAGCCACCCCGCAGGTTAGTGTAGAAGCCTGGGGCAGAAGCCAGGGTCTTAGGACATCCGAGCAAGTACTTTTTCTATCACATGAGGAGATGAGGGGCTGCAGTGCAGGTAATCCAGAAAGAAAGATGACAGGGTTTATAATAGCATTAGGTAGAGGGGAAAATAGCATTGATGCGCTGGACAACAAAGTGTGCACGTGGGGATGTGGGGCAGAGAGCCAGGGGAGGGGTTAGAATAGGAGGAGGGGCTGGGGTAAGAAGAAAGACTGATATGGGGAAAGGAGAAGTTAAAGGGAGAGATAATCAGGAAGGAGGGAAGCAGAGGGGAGGATAGGAACTCAGTGACGGTGGAAGACCCAGGCTTTATAAAGGTGCTAGTGACCCGACTGTGTGGCTCATGCCTGTAATCCTAGCACTTTGGGAGGCCCAGGCAGGAGGGTCTCTTGAGGCCAGGAGCTTGAGAACAGCTTGGGCAATATAGTAAGACTCTATCTCAACAACAATTTAAAAAGTTAGCTGGATGTGGTGGCACACCCTGCAGTCCCAGCTCCTAGGGAGGCTGAGATAGGAGGATCCCTCGAGCGCAGGAGTTCCAGAGCACAGTGAGCTATGATCATACCTCCTGCACTCCAGCCTAGGGGACACAGCAACCTTGTCTCTAAAAATTTGAAAAACAAAAACAAAAAACTTTTTAAGGGCTAGTGAATAAAAATTACTCTTGCCCAATAGCAGCTAAATCCTATTTACTTAAGGCCCACTTCCTGCGATAAGCTAAGGTTAGTGAAAAAGTGTGGAATTCTCTAGTGTCCCCCACTCCAACCTGTCCACTAATGCTTAAAATACCTGAAAGTAGCACAGTGGCTTTCAGGCAGTGGAGAGAAGTCTTAAATTGCAAATGCCTTGCTGAGGCAACAGATTGATTGGCACTCTGGCCCTGTAGAGTATAATCAACCAGCCTTCAACAAGTGTAAGTGATTTTATCAGAAACTTTGGGAAAGGAGCGTGATCGGAACAGGTGGGTTGCTGGATCACTAAAAAGGGAGCTACTGTATTCATGCAGGAGGGAACCATGGGGAAGCCAAGATCAGGGACACCTGTACTTTGGCTTGTTCTGGGCCTCATTTGTCTGCAGTGGTGGCAGACCACAGGGCCTGGTGGCAGACCTGCTATGGCCGGACAAGATGCCTGTGAATCCATAGATTCACATGATTTATGATGATTTTTTCCCTAACCTGGTTAGTTTCCTTATCAAGGAAGATTTGTCTCAGATGATTGATGAATAGCAGTATCAGGCAACACATTACATAATATGTATGTTTTCTTGACACCCAGAATGTACTCACATACACCCATGTAAACCCTCATTGGATGTTTATTTATTTTGAAAGACTGTGTTTTCTGAGAATTCTTCAGAGACTTGCAGTAGAGAGCAGAAGCCACCTTTATGGAGAACACAATTTTCTTTCTCTCCTGTGTTCAATTCCTGGCTGGTTATAATGCTATCAGGCTCATTTCCATATCAAAGAGGAGGCAGGAAAATACTCCCCTGATCGACATAAAAAGACACATTACTGCAGATTGTCTAAGAGCTTGTTTTTTTTGGCCAAAATTAGCAAATTATTCACAGTAATAGGTGAGTCAGATGACAATAGTATTTAAGAGAACAAAGCTACTCATCAGGACTCGGACCCCAAATCCGCCCCAAGGCAGGTCCCCAGCTGCCAGAACGTCTCTGCACACTGACAGCCAAGAGGCTATAAAAAAAGAAAAAGAGGCGGCCAGGAAGTCTGCCACTTACCCAGATGCAGCG